TAACCTATAAATACTAAATAGAAGTGGCGGCGGCAGAACATTCAGATTCTGTCCTTCCTTTCAATTCTTGTGTTCTACTGCTCTCTCTCTACTCTTTCTCGTCTCTCCTCTATACCTTTTTTCTCCTTTTTCGAACCTGAAATCTATTAGGGTTCAAGACTGATAGCAGTCTTGAACTTCTACTTATACTATGTTATCTGTCGCAGATTAAGTGAGAGCTGAGAAGAGAGAAAGGAAAAGAGGACAAAATGAAAAGATTGATACAATGTGTGATTCTCATGTTAAATTTCTCATAAAGGAATTCTTTAAATTTCTCATGTTAATCTTATTGATTAATAAAGGATATGAGCTAGAAAGAAGAAGAGGGTGCAAATATCCAATTTTTTCATCCTTTGATGGTCCTATGCATTTTTTGAGGCTTCTCTTGTGTAAAGATAAATGGAGTAACAGAAATATTATAAGGGCTCATATGGATGATTAGAACATGTCTGGTTTAACGCCATTTACGAATGCATAGAAAAAAAGTGTCCTATTAGATACTTGGACCTTCTACTTGGAGGAAAGCCCAACTTTACTTTTTGTCAGGACCTTGTCATGGAGAAATGTAAAAAGTGGCAGCAGCATTTTAGAAGCTTAATTACTTTTCCAAGGAAGTAAACTTATACATGTTTATCTTATTTTTAAAACCTTTAGAATCAAGAAAGTCTGCTAAAATGAGGGATTGGATTGAACAATTGTGACAGTATTTCCTATTGGGTTGAGGGGGGTGGAGAAGGGTTGCATCTCTTTGGGAAATATGTTGTGTTTGGGGAAGCTGCCATGGAGGTTTTTAAATCTCTTCATTTTGGGTAAAGTCATTCTTAGCATGTGCTAATGAACTCAAGTGGATAGAAAAAACCTATGGTATCGTTAAAATGTATCCTTTTTTGCCTCTTCTTTCAAAAAACAAAAAGAAATCAATCTCTTATTCATTTTATTAGATCTGATATTGGTATCATAAAAAGAATCAAAGTTTGGTTGATGCTTGGTGGAATGATCAGCCCCATCTTTTACCACCGTAAACAGTATGCCAAAGTTGACATATTTCCTTTTTGTTTTTTGGGATTTTGTAACTGAGTAGTCAGTTATTTTAATTTTTAATTACTTTTCTTATTACAAAAAAAATAAAATTTTCCCCTTTTAGTCTGATACTTGGAAGCATGGAGAAGATTTTTATGTATTTCTTCCTTTCCTTCGGAGGGATAATTGTTCTTCATATGGATGAACCACTCAACTACTATATTTTACTTTTTGAGAAACCTTAAATATTGCTTTCCCTTTTAGTTTGCAGTTTATAATGAAAAAATTAATCTTTTTCTTTGAGAAGAGATAATATTTAAAATGAAAAAACATTAGTCTTGGTTTCTATATGTAGATTTTATGGATTACATTTCAAAGGGGCGGGCTTTATGGCTATAGTTTTCCTTTAACCTATTTCTTATTCACTTTCCCATGCAGTGTTAAGAGCTCCTGGGATGGATGAACTAAAGATTTCTTTGAGCAAAGTTTCCGAAGTCATTGACAATGTATCTGTATGGGAGTGGTCTGGTTCTGCAGTGGATGAAGGAGCTGAAGCATCTGAATGGTTTTCAAACTATCTTGGGAAACCCAGCCGTTTAGTGCGTTTTAATGCAGGTATTTCTTAAATGGAATTAAGGATCAATTAATTCCGGGATTCTGGTTTTCCACAATCCTTGGATTCGACTAATGTTACTTTTGGAAGTAGTTCCTTAAGTCCTAAGTCATATATTTTGGTCTCTTTGGGTAGTTTCCCATTTGGAAACTAATACCACATTCTATTCAGGTTTTATTGTGGCATCCATTGCTTTAAAACCCAACATGGAGCTTGAACCATTCTCCTCTCGAGGTCAGCGGTTCAACTGTCCGAGTTAACAGGTTAACCCATGATGTCATGAACATAAAAAAACCAAAAAAATAAAAAAGAGACCCTGGTAACCCACTGAATGGGTTAATGGATCAACTGCCCAAGTCAACAGGTCCATGTCAACAATTTTTTTTGAAGTAGTGAATTGGAGGTTGGCCCAAACTGGTATTGTGACTGGCTCATAGGGTGACCGGTCTGACCAGCTGGGTCAACAGTGGGTTGAAATCATTGGTGGTATCTTGATATTGTAGCATTGCTGTTTCATGTTCACAGGGGTATTCTTGTCATTTCATTATTTGTTACAAATGTTATTAGAGAGGACCAATTGAACTCTCATGGTTTTTGCTCCCAAACCCTTCTTTCTCTCTGTTTTGTCCCTATCTTGTCTCTTTATTACTTGAACTGATGTCCCATTTGGTATGAGGAAAAGGGTCCGACATCTGTATGATTTTGGACATTTTTTAGTGAGAGACTTGTGTCCTCGACGAGATATCTTTTGGGTTGTGAAATTTTTTAGGTTCATCATTGGATGTTCCTTGATTATAGATTTTAGGGTCTTATACAATTTGTATTCCCATGTTTTGAGTTGTTGACGTTTAATGTAGAGATCCATTTGTGAGATTAGTGTGAGAAGAATGTTTCTCTTTGGAAGAATATAGCTTTGGGAGAAAGCATTATTCCTAGAAAGAGAGTTTCTCTTTGACATTCTTATTTGGGTTTTGGATTCTTATTGTAACTCCTTTTTCTATTAGTGGATATTTTTCTGCTTGTATTTGTCTGTGAACATAATGCTAGACCACATAAAATCCTTTGTTTTTTGTGGTTTTTCTTTACTTTTTTTTATCTAGTTTATGGAGCCACTGATTGCACAATCTTGCTTCTGCACAACAAAAATAAAAAGGAAAATCCATAAAATAGGAATGTAGAAGTCTCAGGTTTACAACTTCTGTTTGAAGAATTTTCCTGTTAACTTTTCTATTATACTGAAGTCTTCGCTGGATTCTATCCAAACTATTGTCATTCTTATGGATAGTTTGGGATTTTCTTGGGTTCTTTTTGGATTTCATATTGTCTTCTAAATGTTGTAGAGTTAAAGATGTTTTTTCAACCATGACCTGAAGAAGGGATCTTTCAGCTAATACATGGAGAACTTGTTCATTGCGGATCTTGTTCCTGATAAATTAAAGGAAGACAGCAAGGTGGTTAGAGAGGGAATTTGATGAGGAGGAATATGTGAGTCTTAAGGAGTTGAATGGGGACAAAGCCCCAGGACCTGGTGGTTTTAATCTAGCATTCTTCAAATTATGCTGGCATAACTTAAAGGGGGATGTAACTCTTATTGTCAAGGAGTTATTTAATGAAAAGATACTAGAGAGGACCTGAGGGTGGGCCTTTGCTCAACAGTTGGGTTGCTCCATTCTGACCTGGGTGGCCAGGGTTCAAATCTTGGAAACAGCCTCTCTATATGTGCAGGGGTAAGGCTGCGTACATCTGTCCCTCCCCAGACCCCACATTGGCGGGAGCCTCCTGCACTGGGCTGCCCTTTTTTTATACTAGAGAGGACCTCTAGTGTTGCACTCATATCCCTTACACTAGTTTGTTGATGCTAAGTACTCCTAATTTTCCTTGATGCATCAGTTGAACAAGTTATTTGAGGGCTATATTGAAGAGCTTTAAATTGTCAATGGAATTAAGGTATTGAAGAGCTTTAAATTGTTAATGGAATTATGGTCAATCTATTGAAAACTGTTATGATAGATGTGGATAGGGGTGATCACTTTCAAAAAAAAAAAAAGGATAGGGGTGAACATGGGTCAGGCCAGGCGTAAGACCTATGATAAGGGTTATAGCCCAGGTCTGGCCTGGACCCTAGGCCTAAAATATAAGCCTAAGCCCAGGGCAGGCTTTGGGCCTATGGCATCCAATAATGAAAATTTTATTATTTATGCAATTTTAAATTATATGGTATGCAATACATGAAAAGTAGAGTTCTTTGGGGAGCTGCTTCTCCATCAAAAGTAAAGTTTTTCATATGGGTGGCAACTTTGGAGAAGTGTCATTCAAAAGAAATGTTGTTGAAGAGGGGCTTCAATATTCCAGATGTGTGTGCTATGCATCACAGAGGTGGAGACATCACACCATCTGTTTTTGTACCTCAGGTTTAGTGCTTATATTTGGCATCACTTTATCAGCGCATTCAACTTACAGTGGTGCTTTCCTAGCTCAGTAAAAGCATTTTTAGAAAAATGGCAGTGTCCAGGCATGTCCAAGAAAGGAAACGTTTGCTGGTCAACCATTCTAGTAGTGACTATGTGGGCCATTTGGTATGAGAGGAATAACAGAATTAATCTCAGAAGCAGGGGTGATTAACTTGGCAATAGAGGAACTTAGGAATTGGCTATACACAATGTATTTAAAGATGACACTTTTTCTGTTTCTTTTTTGGGACTGGACTCTTTTGGAGGTCCCTAAATTGAATATACATGTATAACTTCATTGTACAGAGGTTCACTTACTTTTTTTTATATTAATACATTATATTTTACCTTTTCCCAAAAAAAGGTTATGGGGGTTTGATTTAGAAAAGGAGAGGAAAACTCTTTTGAGAAAAGTGATTGTTGGTAAATATGGGGTAGTTAGATTTGACTGGGATTTTAGGAAGGTATCTTCTTCATATGGGGAATGTGTATGGAAGGGAATCATGTCGATTCATCAAAGTTTAAAGAATTTTACAAAGTTAACATTGGTGGATGTTGAGAAGATGAGTGATGTGGTTATGTGGAGTGGGGAAACTTTGTGATCTTTGTCCAAGGTTATATAGGCTTAGTTTGCACAATAATGAGATCAATGGATGCTATGAGATCAGAGAGAGCAATTGGTGTGGTGTCTGAAGTTTAGGAGACCTTTACTCTTTAGGGAGGTGGAAGGAATGTATTTTCTCAGTCAAGTATTTTTATTCTGCATTTACAAGGAAACATATTGAGATTTCTCTATAATTTGGGGTAACTCAATTGCCCCAAGGGTTTGCATGGTTTGTGGCAATAGACAGCATATTGACAGCAAACCATCTAACGAGGAATAGGGTTTAGCATGGTCGGCATATGCTATACGTGTCTTAAAGAGGAGAATGTAAAACATCTTATTATTTCTTTTAAGGTGGACTTCATCTAGCAGTTCTATTCATCTTTATTAGGAATGCAGTGTGTAGAGAACATTGATGTGGGCCCCACAGCTGTGGTCCCACTCTGTTCGTAGGGTAGAATGTATCTAGTCACAGCTGTGGTCAATTTATTCTGTTATTCTAGTTGTTATTTACTTTTCAGTTTTA